GCTCGGCCACCGCCTGGCCAGACCTGGTGTTTTGTTTTGTTTGATCATGCGTAGTGTCATCTGTGAACACCAACATCTAAGGTTGCTATGAAAATTAAGAGTTTGGTTGATAGATGGGATTCAGTGAGTGATTTCAGATTCCATCCTGGAGCATGAAGGTTCTTCCTACAGAGAGGATCCCAAGGGATCAATAAGAGAGAGGTCTGGACATGCGCACTCCAGCTACTAAGAGTCATCAGCTGAGCTTTCTCATCAACGTCTGTCTGCAAGGTAGAGTGGAGCACGGCTGGAGAAACTGCAAGGGATTGCTTAGCTAAAGGGTGATAGTGCATAAGGCAAAAACATGGAGCATGTGATGCCAGTTCCCACATGAACTTATCACTGTATGTTGCTAAGTAAAAACAGTCACACGTCTCAAACAGTTCAAATCATGTTTAAAGATGGCCCATATGCTGTAAGACTTTTTTTTTTTTTTAAATTAAAAAGCTCAATTTTTGCCGTCTTGATTCCTAAGCATTCAAAAGGAACTTCAGCAAAGGATTCATGGTGATTCTTTCCAGCTGAGGGGCTGGGACTACTTTTTGCCCATTCTTTTGTGGTGGTGGTGGTGGTTGCTGTAAATCTAAAAAAAATTATATGAAAATAATTGTACAAGGAAAAAATACGCAGAGCATGAAGTCCACAAATTCTACGTACTGGTCTAAGCTGACACCCAAGGACCTAGCATGGCTTTGGGGTTCTGTGTTTCAGTGTCTCATGTCATCCTGACTAACCACATCCTTTGCTCAGCCTGAATCTCTAAGGCTCGGGGCAGAGAGGCGTGGGCACTTTAAAATATTTCCTTTCACCTAATTCACTGTGCTACTGAGCACTTTCAGACCTAGTCTCGCTTCAACGTCCCCATCACTCGGAGGTCAGCTGATGTCGTCAGCTCCAGGTCAGACGAAGGACCTGGAGCTTGGAGGGTGGGTGGCTTTCTCTGGCAGCTAGGTAGCCTGAGGCATGCCCCCAAGCCCTGTGCCCCTGGATACATCTGCTCACCCTCCACCCACGCCCAGCCTTTGCTCAATGCTCAGGTGTTTATTTTTGTTCTATGAACTGAACTACACCCCTTTGGGGTCCCATCCCTCCCCAGCTGGGGGTGACAGTTTATGGAATACAGAGGACTGGGGTCCAGGCTTTGAGGAAGGGTCACTGTCACAGGGAGGCTCTGTGATTGGCAGAGGACACAGACCTTGTGAGGGAGGGATGGGACCATTTTAATCATTGCCCTAAATGCTGCCTCTTTGTTTTCAGCAGGCTTGGAAGTGGCTGTGTGTAGACAGAACCCTGGAGGTGGGGCAGGGAGGAGACCTTAAGTTCCCATTGAGCCCCTTGTTTCCCTCTACCATCCTTTCTCTCTTCTCTGCCTTCTCCTCCATCAGATCTTCTCTCGGCTCCCCCTCATAGACTCTCCTTCTCCCTCCTCCTCCTGTTCTTACTCTTGCTTCCTGCTCTAGCTAGAATGGGGAGATGTTCCTGCATGGATCCTGGCACTGGGTCAAGACAAGCAAAACGGGGGCAGAACAGGACTCCAGGATGAGGATTCTGGTTGCTGGAGCCCTGGGCTTGAATGGCAGCTTGGAGCAAAAGGTGGTGGCATCCCCCAATAACCCAGTTCTGTTCGGCCAAGGACCAGCAGCTGGGCAGTGAGGCCACTGGTGACAGACATTGCCCTCCTTCTGAAACCAGTTCTGACACCCCAAGCTCCAGCTCATCTGCTGTGGTGCTGGGATCGGGGGAGGGGAGGCTCAAGGCAGCCATGGCAAGTTGGGGAAGGAGTGAAGGTGTGGACGTTGGCGCTCCCAACTGTTCCCTGCTCCAGGATCGTCTTGTCGGCCACGGTATGTCTAACAGGGCATGGGAGAGTTGATTGGGCGCCAGCCGCCCTAGCCCAAGACAAGTTACTGGTGCTTCAGGGATGGCATGCTGGGACTGGATTCTTGCAGACCCCTGGCCCAGGGCCTGACCACAGCAGATTTGCTGTAGATGCTAATTGAAAGGATGAACGTGAGCGGGCCCATTAAAGTAAATCTCAGTCTCCTCCCCCATAACAGCAACTGAGAGGATGTCTTCTCCTCTTATTCAGCAAGGACCTAGTGTGTGACTCAATGTAGCTTCTTTGGGCCGTAATTTCCTCATCTGTAAAGTGGGAGTGTTACTGAAACCCTGTGGAACTGAGTGCTTCACAAACTAAGCACTTAACAAAGCGCTCCCCTCCTGCTTAGGAAAGTACTTTGAAAGCAGGAAAATGCGATGCGAATGTGAACTGTTGTTATTTTCCTGTCCAGGGTTCTCATGGCAGAAAGCCAGCTCCGTTTTAGTTGGGAAAGAGCTCATACATTAAACAGAGCTAACAGTAATGCTGGTAACTTTACTAACTGTCCCTTAAGTTCCAAGCCCTGTCCTGGCTATGTTGCATGCATGTCCTAGGAGCTCTGAGTCCTACCACTCCTATTGTGTAGATGAGGAAACTGAGGCACAAAAAGGTTGAGCTACTTCTTCAAAGTCACAGAGCCGGGAGACAGAACAGTGAGAACTTCACAGACCAGGGACCTGTGGTTTTTCTTTGCTCACTCTGAGCCCCCCCCCCCCGAGATTTGGCCACTGTATCATAAGCCAGCCCCATGGGGAGAATTCGTCCTGCACAGGGGTTGGGAACCCAAGAAGAACTTTTTCTTTTTGAAGTCCCAAAGCTCAAGATTCTGATCTTGGGTTGCCTTTCTCCTGAAGCGCCACGCTTCACTGGTTTCTACCTCACATAATCCAGCCTTCCTCTCCTTATCTAAGGTTTATGTAAGGTAACTTCGTCAGTACCCTGCTTCCCCCTCTAGACTGCAGGAATAAGAGTGGTTACAACTGTGACTGCCCCTCCTCCCCGCTCCCAGAACCTGCGCCTGTCTGCTGCTTCCTCCCCGAGCCCGGCCTTTGCATATACCTGCATATGTGAGCAGGCACCCACACACATTTGCACGCTTGAACAATGTGGAATGGACAGTCAGACATCTACGGTAAGCCTACGCTGTTGGTGCATACATGTAAGTCCGGCATAGAGGAGACTGAGGCAGGAGGATCTTGAGTTCGATGCCCACCTGGGCTATATAGGGAGACCTTAGTGCTTTTGAAACAAAACGCCCGCACTTCTCAGGCAGGCCTTTGTTAACAGGGATCGTGGCCCTACAAGGCTTCCCCACTAAGGCTTTTCTTTGTCAGCAAATTCAAGAAACTGAACTCTTGGACCACCTACCTCTTCTCACACTAGCAGGAGGCCATTTTGCTGTAGGAAGTGCTCAGTGTTAGCTAGAACCTGGCCAGGCAAACATCTGAAGCCCTTATTCCTCCTCAGGTCCCCATCTCTCATCTTTTGGGAGTTAAAGAGACTTCCTTATGGTGGTCTGAGTGGCATTCTCCCAGCCACCAGGTGGTCCAGACTCCAGGCACCTGTGCCAACACATGCTAGGAGTCCAGAGTCAGTGTCCAAGTTCCCCCTCTTCCAGGCCCCTCCCTGCCCAGTCAGACAATCAACCCTCTAATGTTCATTCCTCTCTGCCGGATTTGTCTGGTAGCCATTTAACAATGGCTCTGTGGAACCTGGCCTCACTGGCTGTCCACCCCACCAATGAATCCCCAGGTATGTGACTGAGTGGCAGGATGGTGGAAGGGCATATCTCAATATTGATGACTTCACAGAACTGTATGGGAGCCAGGAAGAGTCTATATCCTCCAGACTCAATCACCCCCCCCCCACACACACACACGCCTCCTTTCCCCAACTGGCGGCAAAGACAGAAGGTTCCTTCTGTTCCTCATTCTAAGGCCAGCTTCAGCCACCAGCTTCTCTCTCATTCTCCTCCATTTCCACCCAGATGGAGAGAAGAGTGAGGGACCTGAGCTCCTTTCCCTGAGAACTCCTTCCAAGCTCTTTAGGGCTGAGACTGGCTAAGAGGCGCATACAGAGGCACAGAAGCCTATGGGAAGAGGGCTTTCTCCCGGTTAAGGCCTGTGTTCAGTGGTACCTCAGAGCAAAGGCTTCCTGCAGATGGCCTCTTTCCCTGCCCTCTGGCCAGTAAGTACGCCAGCGGTAAGCAAGGGGGTTCTGGAGCCCCCTCCAGAACTGAGGTTCAGGTCAGCAGGGAGTGGAGGATGCTCGTCTTAATGGGAGCATCTAGTGCTCAGAAGACAACTGCATTCAGAGGCCATTTTCCTCATCTCGAACGCCCCAAGTCCCCTTCCAGGATAGAACTAAGGGGCTGTTCTGAGTCCAGCAATTAAACGGGGTTTCTGGGCTCAGCCTGGAATTTTTACTAGATCCAGCCCCTACCTATCCAAATAAATTCATCTGATATATTTATTTTATTCCCAACACACACACACACACACACACACACACACACACACACACACACACGGATTCCGTTCACTTTCGTTTTCCTTTTCCATTTCCATTTTATGAAGAAAACCAAAAATTCCAGTAATTAATCTCACCAAGTGTCTG